TCTGCGGTGATCTTGGAGCCCAAATAAATGAAGTCTGTTACTGCTTCCATTTCTACCCCTTCTATTTGCCAGGAATTGGACACTAGAGGGGACTAAAGATTCCAGGCAGAAGAAAAAAAATACAAGCTTGTTCTTGATGTTAGTTAATACTAGGACTTACAAAATGATACAAAAAGTTATAACATCAGAAATATTAAAGGGGATCTTTGAAGAATGGAGCCAGAAATTAGTAACTATAATATCAACACTGTCAGTAATGATGTCTGCTTCTATGGATAAATTATGTATAAAAGACGTTCATGAAGGAATGACAGATGTGGAACAAATTTTATCTGACAAAGCAGAGAAAGTACTGAAAGTGGAACTACAGATGACAGGCCAAGAGAATGATTTGGAAAAGGACGCTTTACTGGTTATATAAAAGAAACTGACTGAAGTTTTAAAAATTAAAAGGGAAATACAAATGGTAAACCAAGAGAATGATTTGGAAAATGCTTTCTTACTTGATCTACAAAAGAGGCCTTGAAGAAATCTGTGCGATGGGATAAAGAAGAATTGCAATCAAATTCTACAACAATATTTGATTGAATTAAAGATTAAGACTGTTAGAAATAAAAAGAAGGAATATAAAGTTGGTTTGTTTGATCAAGGTTAAGACTTTTTTTTTTTTTGCAATGTTCTGGCAACCCTTTATGGACTTTTTGCTAACACCAGGATTGAAAAGTTGATGTTTTATGGATCTGCTTATAGATGAGGGATGGGAAATGGGATGAAGAGATATTTGTTTGTAACTTTATAGGGGGTGAAGAGCTACCAAACTTGTTTATACTTGTGATGAAGGTTGGAAGTCATGTCTTTATATATTTTCTTTTCTTTTTATTATATTTTTCTTTTTCTTCTTTCTTTCTTTTTCTTCTTTCCTGCACTTTTTATTCTGCCCCCCCTTCCCACCTGCAACTAGAGTTGGAAAAAAAAACATCCCAGCCCTGCAAACTGATCATGACTGTTGGCTGTGAGTCCCCTTCTCCTTCCCTGCAACCTTTTGCAATGGCGGAAAGTTACACAGCTGTATCCCAGCAGATGTATTGTTACCTTTCTTTTTCCTATTTGTCCAAGCCACTTGCTGAAGACTTGGAGGGCACCAATTGTCTGAGGATGGTCCATCCCTTGTGCTACCTTGTAGGCTACTGAGCTCTCATTGAAATACATTTCAGCAGCCTCTAGAAAAATAAGTGGTGTATTTTGCATGAAATGTATCTTGAAGAACAAATCCATTTATGGTCTTGCTCAGGGAAGTGGCATGGATTGGTTAATTTCACTTTCTTTTATTTCATGTCATTTCATTATGGTGAAAAAAGAAAAGTACAAATTCATTCATTCATTCATTCATTCATTCATTCATTCATTCATTCATTCAATTTATATAGCCACCCATCTCACTTTTACATGACTCTAGGTGGCTTACAGTAAAATACACGAGATAAAAAATAAAAGCACATGGCAGCCGGGCATTGTCCAATC